TATTCAGATGGCATGTAAAGGACTCTGTAGTTTTTAAGGTTTGCTTTTTGAGTCATTTTAGGGAGTTGTTGACTAGCAGTAACATTTCTCAAGAGTAATAAGTCAGTTTGGCCTTGATTTCCAGGGTGTTTTTCAATCCTCTAGATTACTAATGTATCAATTTATGAATGCTGTGTACCTGTGTGTGTTTGAGTTGTCCTCAAACATTCACTGGTAAAAGTATATTATTATTCTCCATTGGTAAAGATATAACCATAAAATATCTAAATAAAAAGACATAAACCCAAAGGTGAATTATTCATTTTTAGAAACTTTTCTGCAGAGTATAATATATATGGTTTTAAGTACACAAATCCTAAATATAATTTTCACATAGTGAATACAGAGATGCAGTGTCAAAAAAGATAACATTACCTGCATCATAGAGGCCACATAATATTCTGTTAAAAATATGCCCTTTATAATAATTGATATGTTCTCTAAGCTATCAATACTTAAAATGTGCTTACCAATTTTTTTTTTTTTTGGTGAACGGTGAATAATGTTTCTATTTGCTTGTATTAATAGCACCTAGCACAATAACTGGGAGCTCTGGTAGCATAGTGGCTAAGACACTTGACTGCTCACCAGAAGGCTGGCGGTTCAAACCCACCAGCCACTCCTCGGAAGGAAGGTTGGGCAATCCTACTTCCGTAGTGATACTGCCTCGGAAACCCAAGGAGGGGTCGCTATGAGTCAGGGCTGACTCGACGGCACATAACAACAACAACAACAACAGCACAATAACTGCTTAATGATGATACTTAATAATTGGTTTTGAATTGTTGACTTTTTGCACTTATATAGTACAGGATTAAATTTTTGATGTCTCTATATTTGGGAAATGAGATTTAAAAATATTTTCAGGAAAAAGCTTTCATTGAAAAATTGTGCTAAGAGATACTTAATAAGTAATTTGCATTACTTAAATATTGTCTTAACTATTATTATTTTGTAGACAAAGAACCAGAAGCCCATGATATTTTCTTTGTGTTTGATATTTATGATATTTTCTTTGTCGTGTTTACCAGTATTCTTCTGATTACATTCCCCAGGTAGTCTTCCTAGTTTTTTAAAATTTTAAAATGATAGGTCATCTATTTCCTTCACTGAATGTTCACTATTAGTAAAATTGTATGTGTTCCATCAGCAATTTGATGAGATACAACAATGATTTTTCTGTATTTTACACAGCACTGGGGTTCTGTAGAGTGTCTCTGGGGGTTCTTTGATGTCTAGACTGTTTAAATTATGCCCGCTCCCCTGCCTCCAGATTCCACCCCGTTCTGCTTCAGGGGTTGTGGGAAATGAAAACAAACCAGAAGGGTCCCACAACTCTACAGTCTGGGGGGAAATACAGAAAGGGAGAATAAGCTATATATCTGCCCTGGCAGGTGTGAGAGGGCCAACTTACTGAGAATTGACGGAAGAAAAGAGCTGGGGAGGGACAGGGACAAATGCTGTCTAGCTTATTAAATAAATAATATGTGAACGTATATGCTTTGAGAACAAAATGGAAACATTATAGAAGTGTTAGAGAAAAGCAGAAAGCCCTTTTACCCCAGACCCCAAGTTCTTAGCTCCCCATCTCCTCGTTGACAGCCAAATGTAACAGTTTGATGTGTTTTGTGTACATTGTCCTATTTTGAAATGGTAAGATACAGAATTGTGCTTTTAATCAGAAAACTAACTTTTCTTTTTTTCCTTTCCTTTTCTTTCTCTTTTATAATATTGGAATATCGTGGTTCTTCCAATTCATCTTGTTAGAAAGTAAGTACTTTGAAATTTCAAAGATTTATTTATTTTTGTTGTTAAAATACTGATGTGCTATTGCTGCTAATATAGTGTTGCAAAATTTTTAACTTTGTAATTCTGACTGAGCTGATTAACCTTGACATTAACTATGAATAACATTTTTTTCAAAAAATTAGAAATAATAAAGGTTATATACGTGTTCACTCTATCTAAGAACATAATTTTTAAAATAAATCATCTTTCATACTAATGGTATTCATTGTTTTGAATAATTAGCTATTCCTTAAAATAGGGCCATCAAGGGCATTTAGTAGAACTAGTTCTTCTGAATATAAAAACAATAACTAAGGAGAATAAAAACAAACAAAAACCAAATGCACTGCCATCAAGTAAGTTCCAACTCATAGAGACCCCTTCTTGGGTCTGAGGCAATATCATTCCAGAAGTAGATTGCCCAACCTTCCTTCCCAGGAGTGGCTGGGAAGTTAGTGCCTTAGGCACTAACTACTCCACCAGAGCTCCCCTAGAATTATATAAATAAGACTTTTAGTTATTTCTACTCAATAGTAATTGATTGAAACATACACTTTAGGAAAAGCAGTCCAAATTTTCTATATTTTGTGGAGTTGGGAGAGTATAATGGCAACAAGTAAGTGATATGAGAAGTTTTTAAAATACATTTTCCCATGTATATTCTGCATTGAATAAATAATTTACATTTTAATATTCATTTTACTCTTTTGATGCTAATGTGTTCTCATTTTTAAATAAAATGCTTTTTTTTCTGAGAACAAATACGAGTGATATGTTTAAAGCTAGATGACTAGTCAAGGAATGATTTGAGTTGTAAATTTCACATCTGATTGAAAATATGTTGAAATCATCTAAAATTTAAATATTGTATAGTATGAAAGTGAGACAAATTTTATATATTTGTTTCAGGAAAATTGCAGTAGTTTGTGAGACTTTTGAAGATATTATTATGTGATTGTGGATTGTAAATTACAAATTTTGTAGATAGTTTCAAAGTAACTCTTGAGTATATGGAGTTAATAAACAGTATAATTTAATAATATATTCACGCTCAGTAGAGCTTATTATTATTTATGGGAAACGAGGTGCTTATCACATATGTTTGTAGCAAGCATAGCTGTAAATTGGCTATTTAATAGCCAATTTATCTTCTACAGTTACTTTCAGTTTTCTGTACCTTAGAAAGGAAATGTAAATTATAGTGACTTTAAATTATATTTGCTCAATAATTTGTAGTTTTCTTTAAATCAGTATTATTCTTTAATGTTCCAAATCTGAATTCTTAGAATTATGGTTATTGGGACTTTAGGAGCCAAGACTATGTGTGAAAGTTTGGTGTTAGGTGGACAATTTTATCAAGTGTACATTGTGCCATTTGTGTATATTGGTTTCCGTTTCATGTGTAGTGTTAATATCTTCTCGTCAAGTCCCTACGGAAATTCTGTGTTTGTGATAGTGACACTAGATTAAAATTCCACAAACCTGGCATAAGAATTGCAAGCTTCAAATTGTCTGTGCTTTTATATGAAGTATGATGTCAAAAATGTGTTTTATAGCATACAGTATCACATGTATGGCTTCATTTCTCTGGAATTTCTTTGTGGAGACATATTTCTGGGAAGATGAATTGTATTCTCTTCTATAAAGTAGCCTTAGGCCGACTTGAATAACAGCAGAAAATCTTTTGTGAGGGATAATAATGAAATGAGTTCTGTAAGTTTGTAGTTGCTTCATGAGGAAATATAGAACACAAACACATCCATTATTACCATTGTACTTTAATGTTAAAACTGCATTGTACTATGACCAAATTTCTGGTAGGACTCTTGCTTCTTGTCAAACCCAATGGAATCATATTTATGCATCGGCACAGAGCAACTGCTTCCTAAAATAATAAAGAGTGTTCTTCTGTTATAGTCCTTATAAACTTTTATGGCTATGATGCATATATATGCTGACTTGCTATTAAATGTGTTCCGGGAAGCTCAGCGAATCTGACTTTTTCATTGAACTGGTGATTTTCAGAGGAGCACTTTTTATTGTAAGAAAGAGATTTTATAATCTTGGTTTTTAGAAAACTTTTAATTTAGTAACAGAATAGTGATTCTGAACTAGAAATTCAAACTCTGAAAGCCTAGTAGCCTAAAGGCTCTCTTATTTCAGAATGTTTTGTGTTAAATATGCAGAAAACCCCTAAGAGGCATGTGGGGTGTGGGTGAGAATTCTGAACAATATCAGTTTTACCAATTATTAATCTTTTAGTATATTGGAAAGGAAAATCTACGTAGAAACATTATAATTAAGTTAAAGCGATAATTTTGGCTGTTTAAAAATACCAGTTTGGGAACAAAACACAAAAAAGAGTCTAAAATCTACCACAGGCAGTACATAAATATTATATATTTCATAAACATCTTCCCAAGTGTATGAATACATTTCAATAATGTTTATATAAATGTTTGTTGATATTTTAATCATTAGTGCTACTTGATGTATTTTTGGAAACAATTGTTTGATTTAATCATTCAGTCTTGAATCTTTACTGCGGAGCATCCTAACGGGCTGGGCAACATTCCCAAGCATATATATTTATTAATTTGACATGTCTGAGAAAAAGATGCCACTGTCGAAGCTGTGTCAGAGACAAACACAGACATAGATTCTCATTTGGCCATGTGAGAAACACAGTCAGTCCTGACAGTAGCTTAAATACTTGTAATTTCAAATCAGTTCTTCTCAGTTTCTTATTATTCTTTTGTTGCTTTTCAACCTATAGGATGGTGCTGTCCTTGAACTTGGTTTTTTGTTTTTGATCATTCAAGTGCAACCATTAAGTTGTCTGTAATATTTAGAAACTGAAGCTTCCTATTTACGTGGTAAAATAATACCACGTAAATGTTGAGCTTTAGTTTCCTTAAAATATAGTGTTGGTTGTTTTGTGAATAAAATTATAATTTTAATTCAGGAGACTTTTTGCCTGAAGCCTATTAGACAGATGCATCTGATTAACTTTGGCAAAACTAGCTGGCCCTTTATTGTAATGTAGATGTTTTGGGGTTGGGAGGATATTTTTAAGAGGCATGCAAGAGGTTTTTTTAAACTGACTTAAGAGAACAGCTTTGCCACAGCAGCTCCATCTCAGACCGCTTCATCTTTGCACTTTTATATTCTAGTGGAACCTCTCCATTAGCCTGTCTGAATGCAATGCTTCACACTAACACTCGAATAGGAGATGGAACATTCTTCAAAATCCCTGGAAAGTCAGGCCTCTATGCTCTCAAAGTAAGTTGGATTGTTCTGCATATTATGTCTGTTAAATTATTACTGTATTTCATGCCTTTTTTTTTTTTTTAGACATGTGAAAGTAAACACAGTTAGATTTGGGGAAAGGTAGAAGAATGACCCCATATGTCTTTTAAATGTTTTCATATGTCTTAAAAATGATTTCATACTAAGAATAAACAGTGACATTTTTCTTTAAGGAATACATATCTGTGGTCTCACTCTAACTTATGGTAATGGAAGATAGTTGTGGCTTCCTTAAAATTCTTTTCTCTTTAAACTTTATATGGAGGAATGCCATGGTTCATCAGCTGGGAGCTTAAGATAATCAACATCTGCCATAAATTATTTGACTTAATGACCATCAGTTGATACACAGGTTTTATATCTGTATGCTTTGCTTTTAATAAAAATGAGTCATTCATTCTTTTTGAAAACTTACTGATTTAAATCAGGTTATTAATTTTAAAGCATGGAAGTTTTGCAAATAATGCTTACATGTTATAGGAGAGGAATAGAGAAAATAAAAAAAGAAAGCTTCTGGTAACTGAGGCTTAATTATTTTAATAGAATTTAGCTTCTTTTTTTTTTTTTAAAAAAAAATTCTTATTCCATCTGGAGTTGGAAGTGCCATCTAAAGTAGAAAATTCCAGAAAAGTGCAAAAACTCATGATCTACAAATAGTTGCATAGATTAGAACAGTGAAACCATTGTATTGTTTCTTATAATTTATTTTTTAAAAACTTAATGGTTGATGGATTATATTTAAAGTTCATTCATTTCCTTTAAGAAGATTATTATTTAATGCCAAAAGTTATACCTGGCAACGGACCAGGGATTCTTCCTCAGCTGCTGTGCGCCTGGCTCTTGTCCCTGTGTGTGTTTCAGGAAGCAACACAAGTTAAATGAAAGGACTTGGATTATTGCAGTTGCTTTTTGTAGCTACTTGGGTGCTTAATATACTTACTAAAATTTTATTGAGTTATTAAGACATTTTCTCATATAAGGGAGAATGTGGAATTGAAGAAATGGAAACAATGTATATCAAAAGGAGACTTTTCTTTTGGTACAGATTTGAAAAGATTAAAAAAAAATATATCAGCAGTAACAATGTTCCTTTCCCATTTTGTCCCCACCCTTCCCCAAGGAGTGATTTACATTAAAAAATAAGTTATTATGGAACATCCAAATCATAAATAACTATGATAATATTTTAGGATTCTGAAAGTATTTTGAATGTTTTCAGTTACTAATATATCTCCATAAATCATCCTTCCTTAAATAATATAGAAAGAGGAATCGTCATGCCCAGCTGATGGAGCATTGGATTTAGGCTGTGAGTCTGAATTAGATGGCACAGAAATGGCTGAGGCAAATGCTAATGGAGAGGAAAATGGAGGTAAGTGTGATGAATCGCAAGATAGAAAACCCTTTTTCTCTTAAAACTTACATAGAATTCTAATAATTCACTAATTGAATTCCCTGCCATATAGAAATATTTTTCTTCTTGGTTTTACCACTTATATAGATTTGTTATCAAACAGTTTTGATTCAGAAGGTTAGCACCTAAGATAAGTATGCAGTTCCTTGCTTTTAATTTGATTTTGGTTTTTAAGAGTGCATTTCCCTGGATAATTTTCTTGAGTGTTATCTGTATCCATGTGTTTGTGCTATAAGGTGAAAGGTAATTGGTGGCATCTACTGGTTTTATTTTTATGTGATGATTGATAGCGCTAGTGTTTTATTTCTGATTGTGTTCTGATTTTTCTTGTGCTCGTAAGTACTTTTATAATAGTGTTGTGGTTTGGTTTGTCATTTATAAATTAAGCTTAGTGCTATCATTTCTCACAGTGAAGTAAGGACCAAACAAGATACAGTCACTTTTGAGAACTGAATGGCCCTTCACATTCGTATCTACCTTTGGATTCTCTCCATGTGAATTCATTTTTATGGTTTTAGAGACACAGATGTGGCAATCCTGTTAGTGTGTGTAATTTACGTACTGTAGTTTGGCAGATATTTGTATCACAAAGTGACTCTGTCTTTTTATACCTTAAGATGATTTCACAGATTCTACAAATAGACCCGGATCATGATTTGAAAGGAAGAATGAGTTCTTCAAGCCCTATCAGTAGACACATAGAAAACAAAAATCAAAACAAAATTTTTAAAAAACCGTCATTGCTGTCAAGTCGATTCTGACTCAGAGTGACCCTGTAAGACAGAGAAGAACTTCCCCATATGGTTTCTAAGGCTGTAAATCTTTATGGAAGCAGGTTGCCACTTTTCTCCTGCAGAGCAGCTGTTGGATTCAAACTGCTGACTTTTTGGTAGCAGCCACACTTTTAACCATTGCACCACCAGGCTTCCTAGTAGACTCAGAAATCCATAAATAATCTTCAAGCAAACCTTTAAGGATCGTTATAGAAATATCATATTTCAGTAATAGCACAAAGCTTTTCATTTTGTTAATGGTCATAGGCATCCCCTTGTTTTGTGTATGCCTGCTGAGTGGACATTGTTGTTGTTGTTGTGTGCCCTCGAGTTGGACCCGACTCATAACGACCCCTCCTTGGGTTTCCGAGGCGGTATCACTACGGAAATAGATTGCTCAACCTTCCTTCCAAGGAGTGGCTGATGGGTTTGAACCGCCAGCCTTCTGGTTAGCAGTCGAGTGCCTTAGGCACTACGCTACCAGTGGACATTACTGCGCTTTAAACTGATGTGCTTTCTGATGGGCCCCATGAGAGTGATGGTGCCTTAGTTTCTGTCTGATCTGCAGCAGAGGTGGTGAATTTAACACAGGAAGCAGATTCTTGTTTTGGTAAAATGGCTGCAGACTGCTGCTTCCTGTACTAAGTTTTAACCAACTGCCATTTGACTTGATGTTACTATTCCTGGCCCCTTTGAAAGCTTAAATCCCCCATTATTATGCCACTGTTGTGAACCTTGGCCAGTCTCTGTGGTTAGAGAGAGAACGAGAGAGAGAGAGAGAGATGTATGGCAGTTTCTGGCTGTCTAGAAGGTTTTGGTCAATGGGCATACTCTTAATCTTATTGGGGTCACTTCTATCATTTAAACACTTTGCTTGTGTGAATGCTTTCAATTTCTCTTCTCTTTTTCTCTCAGCATACATATTGAGCTTTTACTATGTGTCTGTTCAGGGCATTGCATTTAAAGAAGTAAAAATAAAAAATAAACCTCATGGAGTTTATGCTTTTTGATAGTAGCAGTATAAATAGGGAATATTTGTAGCCTTTTATGGTCCCTGGGTGGTGCAGACAGTGTGTTCTAAGCTGCCAACCTAAATTTGGGGGTTCACATTCACCCAGTAGTGCTGTGGAAACAAGGCCGGTGATCTACTTCTGTAAGATTATAGACAGAAAAACCCCAGCAACACAGCTGTATTCTGACACGTGTATTTGCCAAGAGTCTAATTGACTCAATGGCTACAAATTTTGGTTTATAGCCTAGTAGGTAAGGAGCTCTGGTGGTGTAGTGGTTAAGGCATTTGGCTGCTCCCCAGAAGGCTGGTGGTTTGAACCCACCAGAGACTCCATAGAAGGATGATGAGGCAGTCAGCTTCTGTAAAGATTTATATAGCTCTGGAAAACCAGTGGAGATCTCTATGAGTTGGAATCAACTCGATGGCAGGGAGTTTGGTTTGGTTTGAGTCTAGTAAGTGGTAGAAAGTGATACTAGCCAAAATAAATACAGAAGTTGCAAATGGAGGAGAGGACTGCATTTGATAAAAGACCCAAGGGAAGTGAGGGAAGAAGTATTTAAAGGTTCAAAGTTCAAGTAGAGGGAAAACAAATGCAAAGGGCTTGAGGCAGGAAACTGCTTAGAATGTTCCAAAAACAGAGGCCAGTGTGTTTGGGAGGCTGGAGTGAGCAAGGAAGAGAGCATAGTAAGCTACAAACTCATGGAAGTGACAGGGGCTAGAGTGTGTAGCCCTAATGGTGACTTTTGATTTGAGTAAGATGTTCAACCATTTTTGAGCTGCAGCTTTGAACTTCAGATGTACTTACATGGCTTAGATTTCAGCAGGATTACCGAGAAACAGAAACGTAGGGAAATAAGTACAAAAACAGGGAGACCAGTTAAGCTGTTGTTGTAATAATCTAGGTGAGGGATAATGGTGGTTTGAATCAAGAGAGTGGCAGTGGAATTGGTAAGAAGTTACTGGATTCTGGATGTATTTGAAGGTAGATCTAACAAGATTTGCTGGCAGATGAATGGGGATATGAGATAAAGAAAGGAATTGACGATGACTCCAAAATTTGAATGTGAGCAAGTAGAAGAATAACATTGCCATTAACTTACATGGAAAAATTTGCAAAAGAAGCAGTGTAAGGCAGGGAATGTTAATCACAAGCTCAGTTTGAGGCAAACTAAATAGGAGACTGCTTTTCAGCCATGTGGATATGTTAAGTAATTAGAATTCTCTCTCTTTGAAATTCAGAAGAAAGACCTTGCTGGAGAAATACATTTGGAAGTTATGAGTTGATAGATGGCTTTTAAAGACATGAAACAGGATGGAATCACCAAGGAAGTGAAGGCAAATAGAAAAGAAACAAGGCTGAGTCCAGAGATTTTTTTTCTAAAAAAATTTTTTATTGTGATTTGGGTGCAAATCTGCAAAGCAGATTCATTTTTTCTCATAACAGTTCATGCACATTTGGTTTCATGGCCCTAAGTACAGAGTCCAGAGGTACTTTGGTTTTAAGAGATTGGAGTGCTGCTTGTAGGAACCAGCAAATGATACTGCGAATGACTGAACAGAATGTGTCATCTTCTGTCTTCCTGGAAACCAGGTGAATAAAGAGTTTTCAAGGAAAGAGTAATTCAGACGTGTCAAATCTTTTGATGTGTCAAGTTACGATGGAGGCTAAAGAAGTTACCACTGACTTAGCTATGTGAAGTTATTGATGAACTTGACAGTAATAATTTTTGGGGAATGTGAGATGGAAAGCCTGAATGGACTGGGTTCCTGGGATGGGAGGAGAGAAATTAGAAAGCACAAGTATAGTCAATTCTTTTCTTTTTCTTTCTTTCTTTTTTTATTCTTTCATTTTTGTTAACTTATAGTCAATTCTTTCAAGGATTTTTGAGGTAAAGAGAAAAAGTAAAATGGGAAATAGAAAAGAAAGTGCAATCCAGAGAGACTTTTTTTTTTTTTTTTTTAAGGATTAGAGATGAAGATTAGGATATTTGTATACTGATGGGAAAAATCCAGTTGAGAAAGAGAAATTGATAATGGGGGAGGGTTATCTTGTTGCCCTATTTTTTGTTAGATGACAGGAAATAGCATCTGTTAAACAGGTTTATAAAACTAGTTTGTAGACCAGCCATAGGTTGTAGGAAAAGTTAACTGGGTAGAGATAACAAGTAGGTAAGTTCATGTGGAAGGGGGTCATTGATGTTTATTTCTTATTGTTTCATTTTTCTAGTGACTAGGAAACACTTGATCATTTGAGGGTGAGGACAGGAGAGGTGGTTTTTGAGATTTCAGGAAAAGGTGTACCGTTTTGGTCTGAGGCTGACAGCATTAAGAGGACTCTAAAGGTAACTAATTACGAGTGTAATGTGAGACCAGCCAGCATGATTGTATATTTTTCTCCATTTGTGTTAATGACCACCATACAGATGCACAGTAGGTACAGAGCTAGATTTCCCCAGAGATGGGGTTTTGCAATGTGTGAATGATGAAGCAAGAGAGAGTCAGGAAGTTGAGGGTGAGTGAGATGGGGTGATTAAAATAATTCTCCATGAACTTTAAGCTGGTTGTGGAGTGAGTGAAGACGTGATTGTTTGGTGTCAAGAATGGTGTTTCCTTGGGGTTGAAGGAGTGTTTAATTTGGTGGTCTAGAGGAAGTGAGTTAGAATGGTAGGTGATATAAGCAAGGAATGTATGAAATTGAGTTTTGGGCAAGATTGTAGAATGAATGTCTAAATGAAGGTAAAGAAAGAGACTAGGTTTAAGGCTGCCACAAATGGTTAGGAGTATATACCCTCTTCAGAGTTGCCTGGTTGAGGGGGGATGGGGATGAAATTGAGGGGATGAGATTCAGCAGCCTTCAGTTTGCCCAGCCTTGTGCTATGTCATGGGGCTTGGGCTACCTGAAGGAAACATTGCTTTTTCCTTACACACATGAAGATATTGTAAAGACTGGTGGTGGTCCTGGACTAAAATGTTAGAGGATCATCTTTGTGGGTATTGAAACAATTATGATAGAATTAGCATTAAATGAGAGTGATACTTAAGAGCAAAAAATACTCACAAAATAAAGGAGAGTGGTAATCCAGGAATTGATAGATAACTACGATAAGGAGGGGTGATTGGTAGTAGAGTCTAATGACATGAGATACAGTGCTGGAGGCATTTAGGGAGCAGAA